CCCTGGTACAGTGTTAGGGGAAACACTGAATATAAACCTCAGACCATTTTGATGCAGAACCTGATGAATTACACATTGTTTTTTTTTTTTTGTTTTGTTTTTGCACATTTTAGTTGTCTGTTAATGATGTCATTTCAATCAGTGGAACATCTCTGATTTAAGATGACGCCCTCTCCTGCCAGACCCCACCCCCATTTAAACAGGAAAAATCCTCCTTTTGCTGTTTGTTATGACTTCCAGCCGGGTCATAAGGCAGCTGACTGAAAAGAAATAAGACCCTGAGGCTACAACCACAGCAGAGAAAAGACAGCGAGTGATGAGAGCTCAGAAGAAAACTCTCAGTGTTGAAAAGCTTTTGGTTGATCCGAACCAAATAATCCTAGAAAAGAGCCAGAATTCCCATCAACTACTCACTAGTTTCTCGTCAAAAACAACCCTGAGTGTCAATTTAAGTCTAATTATAGTTGAACAAACTGAAACAGATCAAAATTATTATCTGCTTGGTCACAAATCTATAAAAGCATTGCTTCATTGAGGGGAGGGGCGGGGTCCACGCGTACATCACCCCAGGTTACTTTCTAGTAGCATTGATCCTGTTCTATAAAGCCATTGTTTTAACTGTAGGCCATGGACGAGCCATCAAGCTGTTCTACGTTCAACAGCAGAGCAACAACACTCTCGGTGTTGATGGCCTCATTAAGTCAATTCCACTCGACTCGTCGATATCCGCGGGTAAGCAACCCGTAAACGTCCTCGCGGGGGAAATTAGCTTTCGCTCCGACTATCTGCCGAAAAGGTGCCGATTTGTGTCGTCCTGTGGAGACATTCTGATGTCTGAAGCACTGCTGCTCCTTCAGGGGGTCAGCGGCAATCCAGAACCTCATCCAGGAGAGTCGAGCAGCGGGGGTCGCCGGGGTTAGCGACGAGCTAAATTACACCCACAGGACTTTGGGAGAAATTGTCACATCCTCTTTTTTTTTTTACTTTGATGTAAGACTGTGAACGGGAGGGGGGGCGGCTGCTCATTTTCACTCACTGTTGGAAAATGAAATCGCAACAAAACATTTTTATGATGAAACAGTTTTCTATCAGAAGGAAATGATTTATAGTGGAATATGCATAAAAAGTGTTAATAAGTCTGATTTAAAGTCAATACAAACTATAGAGGCGAACAAGTTAAAACTAAACAAACTGCATGTTAAGCTTTATATTAATATTGGTACTAACACAAAATATTTACACATCTGTAAAATTGACTGAGTAATGACCATTTTGAAAAAAAGTTTAGATTTATGTCCACACGCTGGGAAAACCAATCAGCTGCCAGCTTTCAGTTCATAAAAACCGACTAAAGTCTATTTTTTGTGAAGCGTGTTTTGGTGCAAAAACATCCTCCTACAAACCCACCGACCTGTTTTATGGCCTCGTAAACAGCCCTAAAAGCTGGTTGTTTGGCGTCGTGGTAAACGCCTCTGTTTCCGTGCAGAACGTAGACGCCGTCCTCCTCGGCCGAGGCGCAGTTGCTGCCGTAGATGCAGTGATCTGGGCGGTAGTTCCACTTGCACGGGAACTCCAGCAGGAACTCTGAAAAGTGACATTTGCAAAACGGTCACCGCTTCGGCCGAATCTGGCACCTGGCGGGCAAAATTTCAAGGAGTAAATCTTTACCCGGGTTATGGTGGAAGATGATATTTAGGAGGTCCTGGTCCCCCCACGTTATATTCAGTTTGTATTTCTGGAGTAGAGGCATCAGCAGCTCCTCCCAGCGCAGCCCCACTGCTGTCATGTCGTTCTGCAGAAAACCCAAACTGTTTCAGCTGCAGGAGAGACACCTTGTGGTAGAACAGGGATATCGCAGCACATTCAAACACATGAGTCCCCCACCTTGAAGAAGGTGCTCCTCATCCTCGTCATGTTCATAAGCATGACGCCCGAGTTGATGCCCGTCCTGCCGTAGAACGGGTGCCGGGCGAAGCGGCTGTACCAGGCGATGCGGGGCTCCTCGTGCTCTGGGGACATGGCAGCCAGCTGAGAAGGGTCTAACTGGGACAGGAAGGCCCATAAATGGTCAACGGGCTGCAGGAAGAGGATGTCGGAGTCCACGTATATGATGGAGTCGACATCCTTTAGGATCAACTGCAGAAAGCAGAGGCAAATATCATTTAGAGTCTTAGAAAATAAGATATTTGTTTTCTTTCTTTATAAGCTACTTACAGGTAAGAAGAGTCTCTGAGAAGCACAGGGTTTGAAAAGTTTCTTCCACTCTGCTGCATTCTCACTGGGGAAGCTGATGGAGTATACGTTGTAGTTGTACTTACAGCGAACAAAACCAGGCCACGACTCCAGCTGCAAAATACAACAGCGCATTAATCTGCCAGTGAACGGAATTGTGTGTTTGCTGCGAATATAAAAGCAAGCACAATACGAACGTTGAACTGCATGAATTCTCACAGTTTGCGTTAAGTTGTCGTGCAGCCGATCTTCAGCGAAGATGTGCAGGTGGAGGTGGCCAATGCTGAAAAGCACGGCCGATTTGATCATGGTGAGCGTCTCCTGCAGCCTCTCTCCACAGGCCACCACAGCCAGGTGCATGACGGGAGGCTGGGGTGTGCGCTGAACGCCGGTCCCTGCAGCTTCCACCCGACTGCGCTGACGCATGATGTACCTGAGGGACAGGACAGCCATAAAATGACCCAGTAATGTGTTTATATAACAGTATTAAAAAGTAAAATACTTTTTTACAACTTTCTAGATTAAAACAGTTTCTTTAAAAAAAGAAAATGAGATGCTAGGAACAGGAAGAGAGAAGTTATTGAAAGAAAGGGGTTTTGTCTGGAGCAACAGCGACCTCTGCTGGTGGCTGAAAAATAAGTCAACATTAATCTTTTAATCTTAGCTTCAGGTGTTCACACTTAAAATATCGTCAAAAGCTTTTTAAAAAGCAGCTTTAAGTGTCAATGTACCAGCTTCAGTGCACGTTTGAGAATATTACGCACTACGTCATAATTACGCGACCTAATTTATATCCGATTCGCTCACATTCCGATACATACTGGGGTGAGGGTCGTCATGCCTTTTGTGTTTTCCTCTAGCGCTGTGGACTATAACACATCACCTCTTTTCATACCATAAAGCCCAGTCCTACCTACCTATGGTGGTACGAGTGGGGGTTTGTGGGCACGGTTTTGTCAGCGGACCCTCGCCTGGCTCCGGCGTTTCTCGGTGGGATGAAAACCCTTCTTCCTCCAGCCGACCCGTCCGAGTAGAACAGCTTACTGTACACATATAAACCCGAAAACACGGCAAACACCGTGCACAGCAGCAGTGCACGAATGTAACGCCGCATCATGAAGTCTACGAACACATCTCTGAGCTAAAGTCATAACACAGAAAGTAACGTTTCGGACTGCGTGAAGCTATTCAAGCTAACGCTTTTGTGAACAGACTTCCGGTTAATGTTGAGAAAATAAAACTCAAGGCGCCCTCTAGCGACCATCTCTCAGCGCTGCAACGATCTGTTTGTTTTTTAGTCTATAAATGTTTTGTTTTTCTTTCAGAAATAGGGAATCAACATTTGCAAAGCTTATGTCTCGTGTGTTATTGTGTAGTAAGAAATAGCTGACCCTGCAACGTTGTCAAATCTTTATATTATTTTCATTTTTGGCAACTTTTTTTTAATGTTGTTGACCAATGTAAAATTTGGCCTGATAGTAGCTGAGACTCCAGTGCTAACATATGGCTGTTTAAAATTGTGTTTATTAACTATCTGAATTCAATTCTGTCTGTYAGCAAAATATTTCATGAACCACTTTATTTTATTTTATTCAGGAGATGATCATTAGATATGCGTATCTCAACAATGGATTGCCTTTAGAAGTTAAGATGGCTGCCACCTCAGAGAGCACAAAAATTAATAAGATGCAGCCTAATTTTACAGCTATTGTGCAAACACTTGGTGAGGCTGTAGCTGAGATTCCTTTACAACCCATAAGTGTGACACTTTTTTTTTTTTTTGCATAAAAATTTAGCATTAAAAGTTGGAGTCAACCCTGTTTGTTAGCAAATATATATCACAAAACACTAGATGGATTTTCATGAATWGTTTTTAGGACGTACTTAATAGAGATACATTTACCTGAGTCAATTCAGGCCTTTAATTCAATTAACGGTCATAAATCTAAAAGCAATATGATTTGTTTCATTTTATTTATTCAGCACCAAATATTAGACCATTTTGCCACCATYCTAAAATAAAGTTTAGAAACCTACACATACATTGTAAAGTCAATAACAAAAATAAAAATCTAGAGTATTCGAGCAAATCCTAACATATTCCGATTACAGCAATTTTATTTTGAAGGTAGAACTGTCAACTTCCGGTTTCCTCTCTTACTCCACTCAGCTTGACAGCAAAAGCAGCAGGAGGACCCTGGTTTGGGGGGAAGGGTGGGAGAACAAATTGAATGGGTTTCATCCCCTGAAAAGACGCTTTATGAGTCGTCCTTTTCTTCAGACGGCCGCGTTTGACAAGCAGACCTCCGTGTCAACCGCGTTTTGATTAAGTGTGGGAAAATAACGCAGATAATTAATGAACCGGGTTTGTACAGATGGAAGAGAAACAAGAAAAAAAAAAAACAATCAGAAAACAATAAAAACCATCAAACATAAAATGCATATTAAAAAGCTGTTTATGGGTATTTTAGCTTGTTTTATACGAAATTAGTCATTAGATATACAAACGTCAACTTTTGAGGCCAAACCCACTCAAGATGGCCGCCACAGCTAAGAAACTTTAGCAAACACACACAAAAAAAAAGGCTAAAACTCAGCTACTTGTAAAGATATTAAGCTGTTGTGTGGTCGTAGCTGAGAGTCATGCCATAAACACTAACTGTAATCCTTTTTCAAAACCTATCAGTTAACTGTCTGTTAGCAAAATATCTCAGGAACCACTGGATGGATTTTAAAGAAACTTTCAGGGAGTATTCATTACATGTATATCTACAACTCATTAATGTTTGAATGTAATTCAAGATGGCCACCACAGCTAAATAACCATCAAACACAAAAATGGCTATACCTCTGAGAATTGTACAGATATTGAATTAAAGTTTGATCTGGTAATAGGTTGGCAACATCCCCAGCAACTACTCTGACTGCTACACTTTAAGCACAAATTTGGCTTTAAACCTTGGCATTAACTGTTCAGGGTGTCGACGCTGTTCGTCTGTTAGCAAAATATTTCATGAACCACTCAATGGRATTTAATGAAACTCTCAGAAAGTAATCATTAGAGCTGCAMCTACAACTGATTACCTTTTGGATTCAACCTAATTCAAGATGGCTGCTGAAGCCAACTGACTTTAATGAACACGAACATGGTTATGATTCAGTCATTTTTAAATATATTGAGGTAAAATCTGGTGCCGCAGTTCCTGAGAGTCATCCTCAACAMGTGATGCAAAAACGACACAAAACTGAGTGAAAATGAAAACGGAACCTGCTCGGGCCGTGAGAAACGTTGAGCAACCGTCGCTCTGAAATAATTAAGAAAGCACAATAAAACATGCACTTACACGTCAGGGGAAGACAGAGCTCACGAGGAGGTAATAAATCAACACGTTTGTCTTGTTTTGAATTTGATCCTTTTTCTTATTCCGACGTATTAAACAAGTTGACACATCTTCCAAACAAATAATGACAAAACAAAGAAAAGAAAAACATTAAAGAGACACCGTGGCATTTTAAGTGTCCTTCCTTTTTTTTTTTTCCTTCGCCACAAATAAATGTTTCTCCAAACAGTTCTTGTCCAGTTCCCTCGTCTAGTCCCAGCTAGACGAGTCGGCCTCTGAGACAAACAATATTCACAAACCGAAAGACTTTGCCCACAATATATCAAGACTTTACTTATTTCATGCTATGACAGTTCGATGGATGTGTGCTAAAACGTTAGGTAAAAATCTCGAGGACAAACACTGACCTGTTGAGTAATACAACCACATCAAAACATAGTATAATATTTTAGAAATATCTATTTCCTCTGTTATTATTCTATAAGTCTTATTACGTAGTTAGGTTGATTTGCGCTGCTTCTGCTGGGAGGTTATTGTCCGTCGCTGCACTCAGGAAGCCTGGACAGCTCGGAGCAGTTCGTGTCCAGAGGTTAAACCCCTCCCCCTTTTTGCTTCAGTGGGTCGGGTGCTTCTCCGCCAGGACTTGAAACAAGTACATCCCTCTTTGTGCGGCACAGAAAGATAAAAAAAAAAGAACTGGTGTCATTTACAGCTATCGTTTGGATAACTAGGAATTTATTTGAGCTGAAATTTGGAGTGGTAGTAGCCGAGAGGCATTTACATCACAGAGGATTAGTGCGTAATATTTCTACTGGCTTTAATTCTGCCATTTCTCCTTTAAACATCASTTTAAACCTGTGGGATTAGCAGTGAAGGGTCATATGCATTCCTTCATGAATTATAGGCTATTATTGTTTCTTTTGAAACCGTTAAGAATAGTTTAGGTTAGTGGTAGTTATGCACAAAACGAATAGCAGAGAAAGCTCAACACAATGACACCAGTTTTCCACCTTTAAAACCTGCTTCAAAGTCCTGTGTAAATACATCCCATAATGCCTGCTGCGTCCAAAAAAAAATAAAAAGAAAAAAAAGAAAAACGTCTCTGCGGCAGAGTCAGCGAAACAGGAAAATCTCCGAGTATCAACGTCAGGAGTAAAAAGTTCGTCTCGGTGTTGAGACACTGAGAAAAGATGTTTGTTTCGAGTAAAGATTTCACACAGAAGCAGGAAATTCCTCACGGTGGTGGGTGAGAGAAGAAGTAGTTCCTCTGCTGGCCACTGAGGATGATGRTGGTTGTAGTAAGAAAACAAAACGATTAGCTCAGATCAGTTCTGACCAAGTTCCTCACAGCCGATTGGCAGGAAAATATCCAAAACAGAAGGATTTTAGATTTTATAAAAAAAAAAAAATCCTGATTTAAAGTGAAGATTCTCAAAAACATTCAGCAGAAGCTGTTTTTATATTGCTTAAATTATGAAAAGGGATGCACTGATACTCATCATGTGTCAGGTATTGGGCTGATGTGTGTGGAATCATAAAAGTGTACCAATAAAACTCTACGGAGGTAGTTTTCTATTTTTTTTTTTTTACTTTCGCAAAAAATGGCAGCCTGTTTTACATGCAGCCTCCACGAGAAGCAGAGGTGGGGGTCATCATTTATGTCTGATGCATTGCAAACATCTAAAAATTGATTTTGAATCAATATTAAAAATGTCAGAAATCGATTTTGTTAATCTATGCAATGCCAGTTGTTCAGGCAGTCGCTGCAGCTTCCTGTAGTTGCCGTAAAGCTGTGTGTTAATCCATCTTTTATCTTTTTTTTTGCTCAACTCTGAAGAAAATATGTCTCTAAGTAATAATTCAAGTTATCACAACATGGACATTTAGTAATGAGTTTGAAACAATTAAAATGCGTACACATTTACAGGGATAAACACGATGCTAATCACATTAGCGTATCTATGGCATTTTCAGTGTTAAGTTAGCATCTATGCTAACTGTTGTTAGAAGCCTGTGATTAATTGTTTTCTTTGTTTTACTTATGTTAAGGTATACTCTTTATTAGCCACAAAACTATATAAATCAGTTATTTGTGTAAAATAGTGTTTCCATTTGAGCATTTTAGATAAACTTCAGAAGCTAACTAGATGCCTCCTGCAGATAATTAGGATACATATATTAGCGTTTTGTAACCGTAGCCTTGAATAGTGAGTTACTTAAAGATTCCCGCCCCCTACAGAGGTTTGTAGCTGATGCTGTGGCAGTCAGAGAAAAAGAGAAAAAAGTTAAATGWAGTTAAAGATATTCAGGTGCAACTCAGTCAGTCAGCTGATCTTTTTCCAATTACTAATGCCCGTAAGTTAAATTACGCACCACACCCCCATTTTACTCACAAATTTTCAAATTAGTGGTATTTATGAGAACTTGTATCTGTAMGGACTTGTACTCGATTTAAAATAAATATCAGTGCATCCCTTTTACTGAGTTTCATGGCTGTGGAGACTTTTTCAGCTGATGAGGCGCTGCAAATCTGATCTTTGAGAAAAGGCTCCTGCAGCTCGGCAGATGAGAAGTGGGTGGGGGGGCCAGCGGCGAAGGCTCTGACGGACTCAGTGGGATTCCCCGTTGACCGAGCTGCCCTCCCCTCGGGGCGAGGAGGAGCGGGAGAGGCCCCTCTCTGTGTTTTCCGAGCCGGAGCCGTTCTGACTGTGGTGATCGGCGGTGGAGGCGGAGCTGGAGGACGTGGCGGAGGTGGACGAGGGCTTGGCCTTCTCTTTAAAGTCCGTTATGATGACCGTCAGGTCGCCCACCGTCACCTCCAGGTGCTGGGCGCTGCTGCGGTCGATGTTTTTTAATCTTGGCCTGACGACAGGACAGAAAATTAAYGAGATGCTTTCTTTCAGAAAATGATATCTTGTCAAAGCTAACATTGATTATTCTTGTGTTTATGCACTCAACATWTTGTTTTTCTGTAAACCTTGTCTTTTTTTTTACCTCATCTTCTTGTGACTGTTCTTTTTCAGCGTCGTCTCCCTGTCGCTCTTGTCCCTCTCGACTCTCTCCTTCTTTTCTTTTTTGGGCTGCGATGGCAACACGAACTGCTGCGTTACCTGCTGCTGGGAGACAAGCTGGGAGACGGGGCGAGGCTTCCTGATCCGGCAGGCAGGAGGAGGAGGAGGGGCGGAGAGAGACATGAAGCAGCAGAGAGGAAGAGAGAAGGCAGAAAGCGTGGCAGATTAATGAGAAGGAAAATCACAGAGAGCACATGGCCTCTCGCCATAACGTAGAGCCAATAATCAGTGCCGTAGCTGGTTAGAACGCTGCTACTGAAATGTTTTCAACACCAGCAGTGAGTGGCAACACAAACAGAACCAATTCCCAGGATTTTAGACTAGRTCAATGTTATTTACTTGGACAGGGGTACATCTGATAACATCCAGTAGAAATTTAATGTGCAATTTCAGACTGCATTACTTAAATAAACGTAAATAAACACTTCCTTTAAAAAAAAAACAGAATGACTTAGCATCTTTATTTTGGCTTTGTACAATAAATCCTTGACAACTTTATACCTGCTAAAATGTGACCTTGTCTTACATCGCTAATTCCAACAGATTCTGAGGCAGGAGCAACAGAAGGCTGTAAAAGTAAGTGGTACAAATAAGAAACAGCTGGAGAAGAATTTTGAACCTACCATTAATTAAGATTAATGGTAACAGGTTCGTAAAAGGAATCAAAGAGCATTTTAGAGAGGCTGACTCTCTCAGAAGACGGGCCGAGCTTCACCTGTCTGTGAAAATGAAGGCGTTGCGATGCCTTAGGGCCGTGGCGTGGTTAGCAAACACTTCTGGAAAGGCAGCACCAGGTTCTAGATCATATGCTCCCATCCAGGTGCCTTCTCCAGGAAAGGCCTTCCATATTTTGGCAGGCCAAAGCTAAACAGTACAATAGCTTTGTGGTAGAAGGTGCAGGCCTGGCCTCCAGTAGAGATAAATATCAAATCATAGCACATTTCCTCTCAATGAAACTGAGGTTTGTAGCTCATTGAATATTGGACCATCTTGGTGTAGGTTAGGCTTAAGGCCATATTTTTCTGCATGTCCTTTCTTGTGATGAAGCTAATCTGTTGTTTCCAGAATATTTTTTCGGTATATAAATTTAACTTGGGAAGTAGATCTAATTTGGAATAATCTATCAGGTACACAATCCAAACTTCTGCCCTAAATCTAACCCCCAAATCCAAAAATGATATTCCACCGTGTTGTTCAGGCTTTTTGCTAAACAAGAAGTACCAGCTCTGACCAGATACGGCTGCAACAATTAGTCAACATAATCGATGATGTTGATTATTAAAATTAGTCGACACATATTTTTTATGTCGACACGTCGTATTATTTACCTGTGTTAATTTGTAACTGCAGTACAATGCAATCCACATCAAAGAGCAATAATAATGGCAGAATGGAAAGACGATCATGTCGAAGAGGCAAAAACAAAGGTTGTAAACTTTTAAAGGTTTACAGAAAATCAACCAAGTAACGTGTTACACACGTGACAGCAGATGCACTGATTGAGTGTAACAGTGTTTTTTATTCTGTGAAAACAGAAATCAGGTTTTCTTAGTAGTGGCTTTGCTGTGCTGTGCTGAGATACTGACCACACAGCTTGTTCTACTGTATAACTACAATTCAGACTAAGAGCTTGACAAATGTACGTTTACACAGTCTGTTACATGTTATACACAAAATAACAAGTGAATATTAACATAAATAAACAAACAAACACAAACTTAACATAAATTACATTACTACAAACATCTTAACATTTGTACAAACAATGGACTAGTGCGAGAATAACTGCCCGCTAATTTAAAATGAAGGGGAAAATAACCAGGGTTTCCCCTACATGTAAATGATTGTGGTGCACCGCCATGGCTAAATAAAAGCCGCCACACCTTCGGAATGAAGTTTGTTTGTTTGTTTGTTTGTTTGTTTG